GGGTTTAGGGTTTCCCCAATATAGTAACTTATTGAGGGAGTTGTAGAAGACTCCTTACCCCGCCTAGCTAGTCAAGCAGTTTCCAGGCAGCTGGAGAAAAGGCGCGACAAAAAAAAGCAGTAAGCCCAAAACCCTAAACCCTAAATGGGTCCCCCGGCCCAGGCCCGGGCAAGGGAAACCATTGCGGAGTACTTGCGTGGACTCCGCGGGGGCTCTGAGAAGGAACAGGCAGGATTAGAGTTTAGAGTTTAGGGTTTAGGGTTCAGGGTTTAGAGTTTAGGGTTTAGGATGTACCTGTGAGATAGCCACACTTACAATAAAATCATGCATGGTATAACATATATACCGTTCTTGATCTCTTCTGGTATTGTTTTATACACCTGCATGCGCTGTATATGGTATGCAGTATGGTCATGATACACAGGATATCAGAGCCAGGCAGACGCAATAAGTTCATGAACGTGTTCTAAGTCCATCTTACTCTTGCTCTGGTGGGTGGATTCCTATAGTAGTCCATCTACTCCATCCCCAATCCCTCAACCCTAAAATCAAAACCCTCAGCCCTAAACCTTAAGCCCTAAATCCTGAACCCTAAACCCCAAGCCCTAAGCCCTACACCCCCTAAACCCTAAACCTACAATGTTCCTGAAAATAATTCTTAATTTCTGTTACCAACAATCCTAATATTTAGCTGAAATTTTAATTTCTACTGGGGTTCCAAATCCCCGAAACTCTAAACCCTAAACCTTAAACCCTAAATCCTAAACCCCTAAACCCTAAACCCTAAATTCATAGATGGGCAGGCCAGCCTCGACGGGCCCATCATGCTGATGTGGGGCAACGCTTTCGTCCATGGCTGAGTAATCATTTCCTCCTGAGGGGTTTTTAGGGGTTTAGGGTTTAGGATTTAGGGGTTTGGGGTTTAGGGATTTAGGGTTTTGGGTTTAGGGTTTAGGGATTTTGGGTTTTGGGTTTAGGGGTTTAGGGATTTAGGGTTTTGGGTTTAGGGATTTAGGGTTTAGGGTTTAGGGGGACCCCAACATTGACCCCAAAATGCTATACTACTTTTTGAGGGGTT